GGAAGCACTTATTCCACTGAGCCGTCTCCCCAGCCCCTGCTCCTTTTTGACATTTAAATTTTTTTAAATTTTTTTTTAATTAATTAATTAGGTACAGGGTCTCCTAGCAGCTTAGATCCATAGTGATCCTTATATCTTAGCCTCCCCAGCACTGAGATTACAGGCATGCTGCGCCTTGAGTTTGCCAGGCAGGCACTTAGATAGCCGATCTATATCTCCAGCCTCCTCTTGATATGTTTGTAGCTCCCAATGTTCACCTTGACTGTGCAGCAGTGGTAGCGTAGTATGTTGTAAGTGAACAAGGCTCTCAGGGAAGAGGGAAAACAGAGTAGGCTCACCAAGCTTCAGCTGTGTGGGGTTCATTGTGGCTTCCACCCCCTCTGGGGTGAGGGGGAGGCAAGCCACAGCTCAGGAAGGATCCAATAATGATGAGGGCAGGTGGAATGTCTAAAAGGCTGTACCAATGGTGGGAGGAGGATGCAGGGTAGCACTCACCAAGGATACTTCTACTGGTGGGACAGGCGGCAGCAACAGCTCAGGAGAGCTGAAGTGTGAGAAGCAGCCATAGCTCGGTGGAGCTCATTTGATGGTGCTGGGAAGGGGTGGGGGAAGGCCCATGAAGAGGTTCCTATAGTTGACCTAGCTTCGAGGATGGTGGGGAAAGCAGCTCAGTGGAGCTTCAGTGATCATGGGTTGGTGGTGATGACAAAGCTCACCAGGTCCCCACAGCTGTCCACTGTGTGCCTGATTTCCTTGGGTGGTGGGAGAAGTGGCCACAGCTCAGCCAAGCTCCTATTTGTTTCTTTAAGATTGTTTTCATGGAATTTGTACAGCAAAAAACAAAATGGGAATTATTGTGCTGATTTAGCAGTACTTGAATACTCATCCTGTATCACCAAGTTAGGACATGCGTGGTAAGAACTAAAAACATGACTTAATCCAAGAGATTTGAATGATAATTCTTGTTCCTGCCCCAATAGTTATGATCCTGTATACTTAACCATTTGCAGAAAAAGCCCATTCATTTCATAAGTAGAAAAAATTGGCAGGGCTTCTAAAGTAGGCCCTACTTAAATTATTTAAGGAATTATGAAGAGCTGGTTTGAGCAGAGACTACACTGTATGTATGCACTGACCTTTAACAGTGCCGTGTTCCTGACCCTAGTTAAAACACACACACATGCACAAAAACACTCTGTGCAAGTATATATGATTATATATTTGTCCAAACCCATAAAATATTCAACCCAAAATGAAGCCAAGTGTAAGCTATGGACTTTGTTTTTTTTTCTGTTAAAACACAAAGTAGCTTTTTTTTTTTTTTTTTTTTT